GAAATGAGTACCAGGAATATTCTTAGGAGTAAAGGGCGGCCGGCACGTAAGGCTGACAACCTTGTCGCCATCTATGAGTCGATTGTCTAGAAAATGTGGGAAACTCAACATCTGACAACCCTATGGGCCTCCACGGCCTGTTACAGGGATAGCTTTACTTTTTTTACTTTACTTCTGCACTATTATCTGCCCACACATATGTTTCCGTTCAAATGCAAGTTTTTATCTAGTCGCCGCTCTTCCGCATTACACGTTTCGGCCGTACACGACCATCCTGCTACAATCGTTGCACTTTATGGCGAAATAATGTAGCGCGTGTGAACGCGATATTTCCTAATTAAAATACATTACCTTTGAAATAAAATTAATTAACATCATAATGCTTTTTCTCTGTGGTCTTCGCTCGTTCGTTAAATACATATTTACTTGAGAGTATTAATCACTGTTAGATTTATTCACGCAGGATAGCCTTGGCGGCGTGGGTATTTTGCTTGTTATTTGTGCAGTTCTTAAGAATGTCGATGTAGTTACAAAAGATATGTTAATGCAACAGGATGCTTGAATTCAACATTATGAAAGAAGTTCCATCCAGTATAACCAAGTTATAATTATTTATAACGTTACATTCACAGCTGAGTTCGAGAAACTTCGTTTGCGTACGGCACAAGGGTCAGCTATGCTGTGCTCCTTGAACCCGTTGGTCCCCCACTGGAATACACTCGTACATGTAATATTTCGTTCCTCTTCTACGCATGATTTTGTATATGACATGAAATTAAAATTATTTTAATCAAATAGCGACCAATAAATACGTATTTTCTAGAAGACAGATGGTCACGGGATTGAATACCGATGAGCTTATTGGATTTTTTTAATTGACTTAATCTTCCCTCCCTCAATGTGACCCTGAGGTCGATTCGGCCTCTGACAGAAATGAGTATCAGGAATTTTCCTGGGGGGTAAAGAACGGCTCGGTCACGGTAGCCGAGCGGTCTAAGGCATGTACGGTCTTCGCTCACTTGGAAACCGGGATCATGATTTCGAATCCCACTCAGGGCATGGATGTCTAGTTTGTGTCTGTGCGTTTTTCTGTGTTTGTGTACAGGTAGAGGCCTTGCGACGAGCTGATCACCCGCCCAAGGAGTCCTACCGAATGTGTAAGATCTAGAAAAATAGAAGTGAACGGAGAAGTTCATGGAGGTAGGCCTGGGCCCACTGAAGCTGTAGTGCCACGGAAAAAAATTTCTATTAGAACTTTTTCGTAAAATCGTTTTCCAGCTCATAAGGGGCGTCGTCCCCTTGTTCGGAGCTATGTGATATTCCAGAAGATTCGTTTCTGCAGCTTGTGTTTCTGTTAGCCCGTTGTTTTGCTATGTCTGCTGTCTGTGCCCCTTGCTTGGGTGTACATCAGCGTGTGGTGGTGTCTTCACTGGAGTGGTAGGGGAAGGGAGGAGGGCGTGATAGAGAGTGTACGGATGTGGTGGGATGGGAGGTAAGGTTACTGTTTATGTTTGATAAACTGCAATGATTACAGCATATATCGGGTTGACTGTTTCGGTAAAATTATAATGTAATTGCATAATTTGTTTATTGATTTCATAATGAAGTCGTAGGTATCCAATGCTCGACCGTTCTTACCAATACGTAAAATTTCCATTTTTGGTCCATTGTACGGTATTCATGTGTAGTGTCTACTGTGTTGGGCGAATTTGCAATTTTGTCCATTATTCTTTATATCCCTTATATGTTCTTTAACTCTAATTTTAAATGTTCGTCCAGTTTGGTGGACAGACTGCACGCTGTAGCTGCTAAACTCGACTTAAGTTGCACGTTTCGTTTCTAATTTTATTTATTCTTATTAAGAGCTTAATTAAATATGAGATACCATCTCCAGTGCTCTTGAATAATTTAGTAATTGTTCTAATTTCGGGTACGAAGAAAGTAAAAGTGGTCCATTTTGTTTTTGTGTATTATTTTTTTCGGAGGGTTTTGGTATGTGTTGCATGGTGTTTTATGGGTAATTATTACTAAGTATTGTTCTAACAATTCTTTGTGTTTTTGTCTGAACGTGGGTATTTATTCATTCGATTGATAAGGAAATTTATAGCGGCCCTTCTCCTCGCCTCTAACTACTGACATGGACACGGAGACTACTGGAACGGGAGGTTCCCAGAAGACGAGGCAGGCAGGTACAAAAAGCGATGTCTTCTTCCAGAAACCTCATTCGATTCCAGAACGACTTCAAAGAACACGTCTAAGAAAGAGTACGAGTTCCGAAATACGAAGGTTATTTGGAAAGTAAAAATAAAAAATCCAGAAAATATTCTAAATCTTTTTTGGATTCACTTGTAGCACCTTTAAAACATATTTGTTTACATTTCAACATAGTCACCGTGGATCGCAATGCACTTAGTAAGCCTGGGAACGAGTTTCTTTCATTTCAGCGTCGTAGAAATCTACCTCCTGCTCTCTTAGTCATGTCATCACCGCATCTTGAACCTCATAATAGTCCGAAAAAGCCTTTCCAGCTACACTTTCCTTCAATTTACGTAGAAAACAAGTGAGAGTCGCTTGCTGAAAGGTCTGGGCTGTGTGTTGGATGGACAAGTATCCCACTTGAAGGACTGCAACAACTGCGTGGCGCGAGCAGTGTGCGGACGGGAGTTATCGTGCAGTAAGCGGACTCCTCACATCAGCATTCATCTCTGCTTGTTTTGGATAACCGGACGTAGTTTCTTCAGCGTCTCATAGTAAGCAGCAGCATTGATGATACATCCGCAAAGAAAAAATTGCCGAGAAGTGGCCTCTTCCTGTTCCAGAAGATGGTTGCCATGATTTTTCTGTTTGATGGTGAGGTTTTGAATTTTGTTATTGTTGGTGAGTGTGTGTGCCGCCATTGCAATTATTGTCGCTTATTCTCAAGTGTGTGATGAGATACCTAAGTTTCATCTCCCGTCACAATACAGTCCAGAACATGGTCATCGTGATCCTCATAGCGCGCGAGGCACGCCTATGCCGCAGCCACTCAAATTTTCATGTGATCCTCTGTCAGATTTTCGGCAGCCAAGACGCGCAATTTCCGATAGCCTAATCTTTTTGTAACAATTTCAGGGAGAACAGTCCTTACACTACTGGACTTTGCTGATGAAGTTCATCAATGGTTAAACATCTGTCAGCACGAATATTATCATCAGTTCTTGGGATGATTTCATCACTGGCGACGGATGGCCTTCTACCCGCTTCAAATTCACGACACCATTTTGACATGTTTTGCCTGTTCACATATTCACAGTAAACAGAAACAAGTTGGCGATGAATTTCAGCAGCAGTTTCCCCTTTCGCGTGAATAAATCGAATTACTGCACGAACCTCCCATTTGGCGGGATTTGAAATCGACACGGCCATTTTAAACAAATACTGCGAGCACACCGTTGCCGTGACTGTGGCCGGTTAACTCTGCCCAGCCATACGGTTCCTGTCTCACATGTCAGCACTGCCATTTCTGAAAATAATCCCTTGAATTTTTACTGGACTCATATTTTCTCTCTAAGTATCACTCGTACATGAAATGGGACTCATGTCATAACAAAAGAAATGAGAGACTGTTTAGCCATGAAATCCTACCTGGTGAAAAGGACGCGCCATAGCTCGAGCGGTTAGTCGCTGGCTTCCCACCGCGGCGGTCCGGTTTCGATCACGGGTCTGGTCAAGTGGGATTTGTGGTGGACAAAGTGGCGCTGGGGCAGGTTTTCTCCGAGTACTTCGGTTTCCCCTGCCAATCTTCATTCGACGAATGGACATATTATAATGTTCCAGTTCTCGTCAAGCAATATTAACCTTTCTGCTGCCTATATCTTATTTTGAAATGTTTATCCCAGTATCCTGCTGTCAGACAACGAAGACAGTGATGATGATGGTGATGATAAGTATGGCATACATATATATTCACCAAACATCCGTCCATCTGTCTGTCAAATATTGTTTCTTCCAAATGGCGCATTGCAGATAGAATTGGTAAACGCGAAAGGCGTTTGTGAAGTTCACAATTATACTGCTCTCTCCTCCCCTTATTTTCTCCCTTCCAGATCGAAATCTCTCTCCCACCAGTACCCTGTTCTCCCTTTATGAGCGACCAAATTTCCTAAACTGCTGATGATTCTCATTTAACCGAATATTTTCATACCCTCCTGTCTTTCATCCAAGGCTGGTACAATGGGCCATTTAAGGCCCAAGTACCAAGACACTCAGTCTTACCCTAGCCTAAGAAAGAAGAAACGTTGCACTCCTCTGACTATATATATATGTCGGGATAGCTCAGTTGGCATAGCGATGAGATACGAGCTGGAAGGACCGGTGTTCAATACCCGGCAGAGTCAAGATTGTTGTCTTCTCCACAGCTTCCAGACCGGCTCTGGGGCCCACCCAGCCTCCTATCAGTGTATACCGCGAGTTCTTCTTCCTGGGGTAAAGCGGAAGGGACATGAAGCTGACCACAATATTCAATCAAGTGCCGAGACCAAGAATGGTGGAGTCATACCTCCATCCCACTTATGGCTTGATGGTAGTGTGCTTAATTAAGCACAGGGACAATTTAACCTTGCATATATGGTTTATTTTGCTACGTTGTCATTATTGATATTATACAGTGTCAGGTGACGGGGTGATTAATGAGTGAGGAATAGAGAAGGATCTGGAAGGAAGAGGTCATGGCTTAATCGAAATTCTACCACGGCCTTTGCCTTCAGGGACTGAGGGAATCACGAAGAAAGTTAGCCGGTATCCTGGCCGAGATTCGAAGCGTGTACCTCCCTAGCTCAAGTCCAGAATATTACCTCTACTCTAACCCGTTTGACGAAATGTGATGTAGTTTCAGTTCTTACGCGTTTGTGTATCAGATAGGAAGAAGTAAGGTTCTGAACCGTTAGTGAATTTAATTGAAATTCTGTTGGCTGTGTAAGAGACCGAGTGAACTATGAATGAATTGAGCAGCGAGCCCGCGAGGTACGCCATATCGAGCCGTTCGTCAGCTTAGTGAGGGCAGCCAGCGTGTAGGCGTCAAAGAGTAAGAGCGGAGATAGGTTTGTCCAGAGAGTGCGGGCGAGACAGTGCAATTGAATGAAGGCTGGCGAATGGGGTGGAGGCCCGTACTAGCTGCTGCTGCTGCTGCTGCTGAGTCCGCGTGGGTGGTGAGCATGCAAGCAAGAGGCTCTGACTTTCAGTTTTCAGTAGTGCTAGGGTACCGGCCCCACAAATACGTGCAATTTGTGTGCATCTTACAAGCATCGTGTGCTTTGTGCACTAAGCGTAGTTACTAGTGTCAGTCATGTTGTGTGTGGTGTCTGCCATTACTCCTTGTTCATGCGTGAATTGTGTTTATGTGTAAGTGTTACTAAAGTGTGTATGTGTTTAAAATTCGTGAGGACTCCAGTCTGCAGTCTACACAGTGGGTGAGTGTTATTCTGTTTTCTTACATTAAAAGCAGGCCTAAAACAAGATACATTTTTCGGCCAAGAAATTTGAGGTTACCTTGCGTAATACACGTATCAAGCTGCGATGCCGTACGTATTGTAAACGGTTTCTTATATTGTGATATATTTACATCTAAGTCTCGATTTCATCCTTTCTTACGTCTATTTGCAGTTTGTGTAATGGCGCTGTCGGTAAATTATTCGGTCAACTGTACCCTATTTGACGAAAAATGAAAACATAACATTATTTGTAATGTCGTTTCAGTATTACTCGCCCCGCTTTTGGTATCGGATTTACAGCAAGGGACATGCCTCCTGTATTTCATTTTCACGTAGTAAACTTCCTTCTGTCTGCTGCATCTTGAACGCAAGTGAAACGTGTAATGGCGTTAGTGTTTGAAAGCCATTTTTACAGTGTCAGCCTTTCGGGTAATGTGGTTAAATGGCAGTTACTTATTTTTTACAGTGTTATTATAATGTCAAGTTTTTCCTGCATGTACTAAGCACCGATATATGTATATATGTGTATGTATTTGCTCTACATATGTCTGTTTCTTTTACTTTTTATTTCTCTTATTGTGCTCACTTTGTGGTTCGCTTCGGTAGCTTCTGAGTTAGCACATAAAAATAAATACCTGAATTATTATTTATTGAACACAAAATTATTGAAAGAAATATAAGCAAATTCTACAAATGTTGATATAAAATTTATGTTACAAAATATCATCTATACAGAAGTATTTTCCCTTACCATATCGCTTTACTTATAAATCATGGTTTTTCTATTGCTAGTGGGGTGGGACTAAGCCCCTTGTACTGCGGTCACTTCTGGCCTATCGTCCCAGCCCCAGATGATAGGTGAGAGTGATTGTGGAGCAGTTGGTGGAATGAAGATTGGCAGGGGAAACCGAAATACTCGGAGAAAACATACCTCAGCTCCACTTTGTCCACCACAAATCCCACTTGACCAGACCCGGGATCGAACCAGGGCCGTCGCTGTGGGAAGCCAGCGACTATCGCTTGAGCTATGGCGCGGCCTATAAATCATGTTACTCCAGTCAAAAGGGCCATCGTTACGCGACACGGAAACTGTGTGTGACAGAGTATTCCTTAATTGCTGTGTATGTGAATACATTGCCGTGCCGAAAGTTTCTTCATGGGACGAATGGAGACTCTTAAATTCTCCGGTATGCAGGCTAAATGTACGGCGTCACGCCTCAGAAGATAGTGCTCTTAATTGTCACCGCTGTGAAAACCACAGACGAGACATTAAGGAGTCTCTATCGCAGCAATCTGATTAGTTGTAGTTCAGTAATGTGATCTGTTTTATAACCCTACTGAGGGTCGAAACTTGGAGTGTGACAGGAGATCCAAATATGGAAAATCAGTCGCGTAAATGGTTGTCTTAAAATAAATCGCCATTAAGTTTCAATTAGAGCTTGGGTACCATAACTAAAACTTGACAATGAAGATATACGAATATATTGCACCAAATTTCGTTTTAGAGAAATGCAGCATCTTGAAACAAAGCCAATTTAATTGTGTTATTCCGCTGAAAAGAAGTTGTGACTTAGGGGTGTGTATATTCTGAATTTTCAGTGAAGTAGATGTCTCACCTTGGCCCCCTTACTTTAGGAACACAGCCTCCTAATTTTGGGTAAAGGAGTTTGTAAAGAGAAGTAGCAATGTCACCTGATTGCCTGAAACTGCGCCATTTTGTTCTGCTGCGACACTTAAATTAAAACACCTCACGAGTTGATTAGATTCCGCTGTACTTTATTAATTAATTAATTCACTCATTCATTTATCAATGGCTATACAGCCCATTGTTGCCCTGGCCGCTTATTCAGTTTCGTAATTTGATACACAGTCTTTTTTTTTATTTTATTTCTTGCAAATTTACAATCTACTCCATAGTAACAATATGAGTAGTAAGTAAATTGTTTAAGATTTGAAGGCTTGTGACGGGTACCATTCAGTAATGGTTCTCCGTGTGGTTACACATCATAGAGAAATTCTTCTGGCCAGATTTTCTTCAGTCTTCTTTTTTCTAAGGGTTGGGTGAATAAGTCACTTGTAAGTTGGTTTACATGCTCTGTTATTCGATCTTTGTATTTGTTTATGTTTGACTTAATTACATCTTGTATTAATGGTATTTTTAAATCCTCATGTAAAGTTTGATTAGAGACGTACCATGGTGTTCCAGATATCATACGAAGTGTTTTGGTTTGGAATTACTGGAGTATTTTGGTATTTGATGGTTTATTACAACTCCATAGTTATACACAGTCTGTAGGACTCCTTGAACGAGTCATCAGCCCGTCGCAAGGCCTCTACCTATACACAGGATAACACAAACACGGAATAAACGCACACAATACAGACATCCCTGCCTCGAGTGAACTCTGTTAATACTAGTTAGTTATAATGCCATTGTAACATAACTATGTGAGATCGCAGTGTTTGAGGCTGTACTGAACACAGGCTTGCGGATGCAGGCCCCGTGTTCTCCAAAATTGAGGTGATTTAGAAACAGAACTCGCGTTCACTTCTTGAGAAATTTAAAACTGAAAACAATTTTATTTCTCCATTTGACGCATCCAAAAGTAACACGACGTTCCTGTCTATAACGGACGCCATTTTCTTCTGTGCCGTTGTACAATGTAGCTACACAACCAGTAGTGTCTGTACAAACTGTCTGGCCTATTTAATATATAAAATTGCAGTGCAAGGAGGCCTGAATGCGACACATTGACTACCCGGTTTTGGTTTCTTTAACGTGAGGGTTCATTCATCTTTTTCACGTGTTGCCTATTTGACTCCGTACCCCATTTCACATGATCTATCAGTATTATGGCGCATTTGCTACATGGAAGAAAGGTTGAGCCACAGAAACAGCCGTTTCTAAGTAATACACCCAAGAAATAATGGAACAATGGGGTTATGAAACCCCCAAGGCGCAATTATGTCACATCCCAACAGTGCTTAGCTATCACGTGTCTAGTTTTTCCTGTGTGGTCTGCGCTACGTAACAGTAGAACTGTGTTTTCTGTGTTGTCTGTACCGCGGCTATATAACATAAGTCCGTTTGCAGCTAAGGAGAGACCAGTCTGGAGGAGTAGTCGAATACTTCCACCGTGACCCTGCAAGTTGTAGGAGGCGACGAAGAGGGAAGTCTCAAATCTGAGACAATAAAATATGGTCGCTAGTCCCAAGGGACTCTGACACGAGAAAGATTGCGCTGGCAAGAGCCAGCAGCATATACAAAAGACAGGCCCGTCCTCTCGTCAGAGAGGGCGCCCCACAAAAAACGAGACCGTAACTGTCAAACAGTAATAAATATCTGGTCATGAACCCCAGATGGCGCTCGAAACCAAAAATTAATGACTGACCGTCAGTCGCAACGTGACTTTGACTTTGAGCTAAGGAGATTTCAGGTGACTTTTTAGTTGAGTTCCGATGTTCGAGGGAGATTGAAGAAGAAACGGCAAGAAGACCTCATAGTGATTTGAAGTGCTAGTTCCTGCGTTGGGATCCGTTGCTAGGAGACGACTAGCGAAGACGGAGGATCCTACTGCCTTTGCAACGGTGAATTATGAAGTGTAAAAATTGGGATAGCTCTGTATTAAGTGTGATTAAGAGAACTTGTAACCGAAATTTTTATAAATCCAATCATCCGAATTAGAACCCATCATTTTCGTCACGCGTACCATCCTACACGTGACATTATCAATGGTTGTAAGATTGTCATGTCAACTTTGCATAATCACTCTGCGTATTAAATTTTTAATTAACGTTCTCTGCATCGTTGGCTTTACCTTAAATCTAAGCAACTCCCAGTCTTGTCGCGCGTCTCCTGTAGCATTACTCTGCATGTTTATGCAAATGCCCTGAAAACGTAAACAAAATTCTCTAGTTTTGTGTCCTTCCACCCATGCGCCCCATCTGGAAACAGTTAACTAACTCCACGGAGGACAATCCCTATAGTTGCTTAGACACGAAACCTCCGTCTTTAATGTCACCCGAAGTTCCTACGTCGTGTTCACAAGTCTTCATCCTGTCCTCATTCTGTTCCAGAGAGATCCAGTCCCCCATCTGTGACCCCGAGACACGCGGTAGCGTAGTTGACGCACTTTACTACAACCCGGGAGGTCGCTGTTTCGGTTCCCGATGAACTCATTGGATTTTTCAATTGACCTAACCCTTCTAGCCGCAGCATGACCCTGGGGTCGACTCAGTCTCTAATCGAAATGAGTACCAGGAATCTTCCTGGCGGTAAAGGTCACGAGGCGCGTAAGGCTGACAACATGGTTGTTACATGACAAGACCCGAGTTGTTACCAAACAGCGATATGGGACATACACAGACAGACCCGCAGACATATGCGTCGAACAATTTTTATATTTTTAATGTATACTTTGCCGCGGGAACGTGTTTATCGAGCTGATGCCTAGCAACGATAGGAGGAATACACATGCAGACACAAGGACTGATGGGAGGGATTCAGGTGCCATGATATGCATACCAAGTTTCATAAGTATTGGTTCAGTCATGCAGAAGTTTATGGGGGAGGTGCACAGACAGCATGGAGATCGCATTAGTCGACTTGAGTTTTTCTTAAAATAAGGAAAGTATGCTAACAAGGCTTCTATCCGAAATTTAAAATACTAAGAAACAGTCGAACAGTCGAAACAACGAACGCGTTTCCTTAGAGATGAAAAACAGAAGGCCCCGTTGAGTAACAACAGATGAGACGAAACACGTTACCAGCGTATAAAGAGCGTTCCCGAAGCAATGGATTGCCGAACACGCGAGATCGAACCTTGGCGTAAGGTGTCCTCTGCTGAGTCCTCAGAATACCTACATAAGCCGAGAGCTACAGACAGCAACAAGACAGTTGGAACCTAGTCGCCATACAAGACAGTTGAAAGATAGCCGCTGCAGAATACAGCTGAAGCGATAACAATTGTATGGTGTGT